CATGTCACCATTTACCCAGAATGCTTTGCGTGTAAATAAAATGGCTCCGTCCGTGCTAAAATATATTTTTAAAAATTTACAAAACTAAACAGCCTACATTTACAGTCTTTATTTTACAGTTAAAATATATGTTTATCAAATAAAGTCTAATGTAACAACTAATTGGGGTTTGCTTTAAAGCATTATTTGAGAATAAGAGGTTGCAGATGGATTTCTTTGCTTCAGCTCTCAGCTTCTCTCTCTAAAAGGTTTCAATCTGCCAGAAATGACCTCTAACCACTGTGACAGATTGTGATTGTGCCTGAAAACTGATGTGACCATGATTGTAATTCTGAAAACCTGTGCCATGCGCAGTTCATGGTGACCTTTTAGATTTGTGGAAACATTAAGTGTTTTTTTAATAATATAAATCAAGAGAAAACAAAGGGCTTGTAAACCTTTTGACATTTTCCCCAACAGAGGATGATCTAAATAAACTTTATCTGCAGTTTGCTCTTGATTTTACTGGAGCCAAGCATGATGCTTCTTAATCAGAGCTACAGTTTGACATGATGATTACAATTCTTATTTTTAATTACCGGAAAATGATCCTTGATTGGTTTTAGTTTGTTTGGCCTCTGAAGCATCAAAAAATAAATTGAAGATGTTGCTCTGACCTCACACATGCAACCAATTTAGAAACATGTTTTGCACATAACCAAATCATGTTGTTAAAAGCACAAAAAGTGTTGAAGTTCACAAGCAAACAGAAACATTATTTGAGCTGCTTGTTGTAATCAAATTAAATAAATACAATTTTTTTTAAATCCTAAGTTTGAGAACCTTTGAACAGCACAGATTATTTACTACATTTTAGGTATTTCCAGGGGAATTTGCAGTCGGGCTTCTATATTAGTAAAAGCTGATGTTTCTTCTTTTTCATTGGGGTTCCGTGCTTKAAGTTTTCTATGAATAGTCAGTATTTTACTTGCAGTATCAGTTTGGAGAATCAAAGAGAAATTCTCATGAGGRTGTCAAGCTAACAGATACTCAAAACCGCTGAAACTATTGATGCTCGACTTGCTTCAGATGTCGTGAATTTCCCTTTGAATGGCTCCGTCCCCCATGAGAACGTCTCAGTTCCTCCCGAACGGGGGAGCTCTCTGACTGCGCTGCAGGTAAGATACTGCTCACGAGTACAATTCAAAGAAACCAGGCTGCCTGTTTAATGTGTGCGGAGAAGTGTGTTTGACACAAAGAGGGCCGCGGTTAAAAACATCCAGCTGGATTTGTTGAATGGGAGGTGAGAAATTTCACGTCTGTTTATGGCATCTCGTTTGTACGCCTCCTTCTAAGCCTCGTGACTCTCTCTCTCTCTCCTACACTCCTAAAGTTTGAGCTCCGGGAAAATTAAAAAGTTTCACCAGTAAACAACATAACGAGGATATAAAACAAAATGATGTCGATGATAACGCTAACGGCGCGTAAACCGTTTTCTCCCTCTGCTCAGCTTTTATTCACCTTCCTTCTGTTTCTTGTTTTTTTTTTTCTCTCTCTCTTCAGGTACTTTGTGTTGGATCCAGAGCTAGGCCAGTTGCAGTACTTTGTCAACGAGCAGGGAAAGAACCAGAAGCCCAGAGGGTGCCTGCCCCTGATCGGTGCCTCGGTAACCACGAGTGATGAAGCCTCGTACATGTTCATCGTAAACTCTGTCAACGGGGAGCTGTACAAACTTAGAGGTATGACCTCAAGCAGCCTGCATGTGGTATAAAACAAATTCAGTGTGTGTGTGTGTGTGTGTGTGTGTGTGTGTGTGTGTGTGTGTGTGTGTGTGTGTGTGTGTGT